CCGCTCGAACCCAGAACTGAAAGGAGCGCTGCCAAGGTGTGAAATGAGCGGAAAGCTTCTCCAGAATCTCTTTGAAATCCAAAGGAGGCATGGTGGTTGATTTGTCAGTTGGGTTCGTAATTGATTATTGATTTTCTATTACAGTAACTGTTTGCTAGAATCAAATTGTGCGATGCCTCTTACACTCTGGAGTAAATAGTGGGAGCTGCGACATTAGAGAAAGAGAAGAACAAGGATCACAAAAAGCTTGATGAAAAAGAGAAAAAGATAAACATGCAAATTTGATATTGTGGCTGAGAAAACGAAGGAAGAAATATATCGGCACGTCCCACTGCTTATGTGGATGTTGTTTTTGCTGAAAAGATACGACGCTTGGCTTGGAAGGCTTGTGTTTCCAATTTCCATAATCCTCGGCTCGGGGAGAAATTCTTTGGGAGTTGGGACCCTCAGAGACTCGATTCTTCGGAGCAAGGGCGACCATTACAACAGGACAACTTACTTAGTCCTCCCTCTGCTTGGTAATAGTATTTTATTTTTATTTTTATTTTTTATGTTTTAGGTTTCACAATTTCAAAATTTTTTTCTAATTTTTTAATCCAAGTATGCAATATAAGGAGCTCTTAGTTTTAAAAAGATGTTATTATTAAATTATTTAAATTTTTGATTAATTAATAGAAATATTTTTAATTAATTTGAGTATGATAATTTAAGAAGATACATTAATCAAGTCAATTGCTTAATCAAGTCAATTGCTTAAGCAATTCGGTAGATTTTCTTTTTAATAAAATTAAGAGAACTTGAATTGAAATCATAGACATATATGTGAAGCGAGTAAAAAAAAGAGTTACCCAAGGTCAAAATTTTTTGTTAGGGAGCAAATTGAAAACTTTTATTAAGAAATTGAGCCTCTATAAGTTAATTAAAAAATGGATCTGGGAAAGGATTTTAAAAAACAAAATTTTACTAAATAATTTATTTTATAGGAAATAGAGATATTTTTTACTAAACCCCATAATATTTGAAAATCATATTAAATTTTAACTAATTTATAGTTAAGTTACGTCAAATCTCATAAGAGAAGAAATTCTCATAACACTTAACTCTTGAATCCCTAAGTCAAGGCACTTAAAGCCATAACATAAGTTGAAACTATGCTTATAATGAATACAATTAAGCGTAGAGAAACTATGCTTATAATGAATGCAATTAAATGCAAAAAGCCACCCATATCTAAAGATTATAAACACTTGTTATGAAATAAAGTATTTAAGGATAAAATTGATAGAATTAAAACTTGAAGAACCAAACTAAAATTTTTACAAAAGACTAGGGGTAAATTTGCCCCCTTATGCCATAATGTAACTTTGTCACTATAGATGGAAGAATATTACTTCTTATTATATAATTTGAAATAAAAATATAAAAAAATAAAGAAGAGGATACATTAAATTTATACACCTATTTCATAAGAAGAGTAGGGGTCAACTTCTAATGGTGTAAATTTGAAAATTTTTTATATTAATTTTTCACACATTTTAAAATTTAAAAAGCTATTTGAAAATTCAAGTATGGTATTAATTGTTAAAATTTTAATATGAGTAGTTGAAAATTAATGGAAAACTTATCAATATAATTTGATCCTAACTCTAATAGAAAACTTTGGGACATGATAGATTTCTCAATTTCTAACCTAAACTATATGATGCATGAGATTTCCATTGGTTGTGAATTTTTGATGTTTTAGATTTCCGTAGTCGGAGACACCAAAAATTTGGTATGCTATTGCAATGAAGAATTTTCACACAATGAAATGCCACACAATCAATTCTCAAGGCCACACAAAATATTATATATGTATTTGATTTATTTAATTTTATCAATTTATTATATTTATTTAATGTGTTTGAAAATTTTATAAACTAATTTTAAATTATTAAAAAATAAATATGAATTATTCTATTAAATATTAAATATTAACTAATAGTTATGACTATTAATTGCTCCTAACCATCAAACTAAATACATTTATAAATTTTTATGTGGCCTAAGCCTACCCTACCAACAACCTTAACAATAATGGAGCCGCCGCAACTGCAGACGTAGTTAATGATCCCACAATAATCCCACAATAATCCCTATTCCTTTATTAGAAGTTGGAGATCATATGAACTCAAAATCAGTTCTTTTCCCAAATGCTCCTTAACTCCAGCACAAGACGGGATGACATACCACCTCTAGGAGAGCTACAGTGCAAAGAAGTCAAAACCATACCATATTGACTGGTACGGTCAATACATATC